CAACAGAATACATGTTGTTTTGTCATGCATCGTCTGGTTCTGCATCCTCTACCTCCAAATTCAGGAAAGCTGCAACTTCAGCGGGCTGCGCCCAAAGAGAATTTGGCGATAGGTGAGTAGGCTTAGCTGGGCAATTGAAGAGGTGCAACGTGTCGTGTGGTCCTAGTCCACATGCCGGACATGTGTTAGGTATCGAGCCGTCAATTCTTGCCCAATATGAATTGAGGCGGTTGCACCATCCTGATCTTAGTTGAGCTAAGACTACTCGTGTTTGCCTTGGCAGCTGCTTCTCCTCAGCTACTATGGATGGGGGGTGGTCTCCAATTATGGTATTCACTCTATATTGCTCTACTGCTTGAGCGACTGCATCCGTGTGAATACCATTCAGACCTGCTTGATAGGCCTCTTGATCTAGGGGTTCACGCTTGTACCTTTGGACCTCTCTCTCTAGATCATGAAGATCTTTCCTGACGTGCCTGGGTGGGGGAGTCCTGTCCATAAGGCTATGGCAGGGATGTTCCTGACGATAACACCCAAGCAGGTACTGCATCGACAACATATAGTTGTGACGATGGACGGGTAAGATCTTCGTCTCCTCATGAAGATGGTCCACTGGAGTCATGAGGAGACACCCTGTTGCAGTTCTCAGGGCAGCGTTCTGGCAGGTTTGAATATTCTTCCACTGCGTATCACTGACATTCGCGAACCACACTGGCGCCGCATAGCTTACCACTGACCGGCCTATTGCTTTATAAGAGGTCAACAAGGTTTCTTTGTCAGCGCCCCAAGTGCTGCCGGCTAGCGACTTGAGGACCTTGTTCCTACTTCTCAGCTTATCGCATAAAGCAGTGGCATGCGCGGACGACTTGAAAAGGCTGTCGAACGTTACTCCCAATATCTTGGGGTAGTTGGTGGTCGGAATCAATTCACCATCGACCATTATGTTCAGCGGGAGCTTCATTTCAGCCGTCCATGTGGTGAACAGTGTGGCTGTTGATTTGGTGGCGGATATTTTCATATTCCTCAGATGGAAGTAGTTAACAATATCGGCTATGTAGACGTTTAGCCTCTCACATATATCATCAATAATGGGACCCGACGCCATGATCGTGCCATACATTACGATCTCTATGCCGTCCGGTGGTTGTGGAATATCAGAAAGGTAGAGGTTAAACAGTTCCGGAGATATCACCCCTTCTTGGGGAACTCCCTGTTTCACTCTACGGGGTTTAGACTTCCTGTTTCTGAATTCCACATACGACTGGCGTCCACACATATAGTTGACTATCCAACGTTTCAAACACGGTCGGAGATTCGTCCTCTCTATATCCTCGAACAGCTTGGCATGGTTGACGGTATCGAAGGCCTTCGATAGGTCAAGTGCCACCATAACTGTTCGGTTGCACGGCCTGTTCTGGTTGAGTCCTCTGCTAATATGTGTGGAAATGGCGTGTAATGCTGTTGTTGTACTATGCATCTTACGGAATCCATGTTGGTATTGGGCAACTGGAAAACTGCTTCTCAACGATGGGAGGAGTAGCGCCTCAAGTGTCTTCGCTACCGGCGACAGGAGTGAAATCGGCCTGTACGATTCACCCCTGCTGGCATCCTTGCCTGGCTTCAGTAGCGGGACCACCCTGCCTATTTTCCAGGCTTCAGGAACTATGTGGGTGGTTAACGACAAGTTGAGGGCTGATGTTAGGTACTCGACTCCAGGTTCATCCAGCTGCTTTAGCATTACCATGGAAATTCCGTCCGGTCCCAACGCTTTGGATGATTTAGCGTTCTTGATGACATCTGCAACGTCCTCCTTCGTAAATTGTGGTGGTTCCTCCTCAGCTCGGAGTGCTCTTATGCGACGTAGCACACTCCTTTTCGCCCTGTCACTCTCGGGGTGCTCTATGAACTGCCGGTTAAAATAACTCGCGCACCTCTTCGGGTCTGTTACAGTTACGTCGTTAAATGTAACAGCCGTCCTGTCATCTTTCCTTCCAGGATTCGAGAGTGACTTAACCGTTGCCCACAATTTACTCGTTCCGGTGGCAATGTTGCATTGCTTCAGGTGGTCTAGCCACTTTTTCCTTTTGTGCTCGCATACTAATCTGTTGTTCAAGGGTAAGCTCTCGCACCCTTGGGTCCTCAGGAGTAGTACGACGGAGCTCATCACGCTCATTGGCCAATACCGTTGCTTCTGCTGGGAAGTTAGGTCTTACTTCGGGTATTCGACCAGCAGGTATGAAGCGAGCGGCAGCAGTAGCGATGATTTTGCGGAAATTCCTCTCAGCTACCCGTGGATCTGAGGGAGTGGGCAGCTCTCTGAAGCGGTGATTGGTAAACTCTCTGAAGCCAGGCCAATCAGCTTTCCCATGGTTCAGGAAAGTACGGCTTTCAGAGGTTATGAAGTCTGGTGGTCTGTTTACGGAGACGATGATCGGAAGGTGGTCTGAGCCTAGTGAAACGACGGGTTGCCAGGTTACGTCATTTATCAGACCCGGTGCCACAATGGTGATGTCTGGCGAGCTGTGGCAATCTCCTCTTATCCTCGTGGGGGCATCCTCATTAACCGTGCAAAATGTTGAGCTATCAATTTGCTCAGCCAGCGCTGTACCCCTCTGGTCATTACCTAGGACGGAATGCCATAATTCATGGTGGGCATTGAAATCCCCTAGTACCAGGCGGTTATTACCTTCTAAAAGCGGACTGATATTCGGTAAATAACGCGGTGTACAGCTATTCATCGGCGGTATATAAACATTGAGCACCTCTACCTCGGCAGTTCCACACTTGACTGCTACCCCCATACATTCCATGTATGGGTCACTAGAGTCTAGCTCAAGCGAGATAGGTCTGTACTGGACAGAATGGTGTAATAAGAATGCGAGTCCCCCACCTCCGCTTCTGGTACGATCCTTCCGCACAACGTTGTAACCATCGCAACGCTGCAAGCTACAGTTCTCAGTTAGCTTGGTTTCTTGGATCGCACCGACCATTATTCTCTTGCGACTCATAAAATCTACAATTTCGCTGATTTTGTTGCGAAGACCGTCGCAGTTGAACTGCAAAAACGATGCATTTTCAAGGCGCGGAACAGCAATATGTGGTGTTAAATGCTGCGCGTTTTGCTGTTGGGGAGACTGCGGGGGTGTCTCGTACTCCGACGATGACGATTCGGATGATGAATCGGACGACGACTCTTGAGACACACTGGGAGACGTGCTAGCGCAGCATGAAGCAACGTAACTCCTTTCGCAGTACTCCTGGATCCTGTTCAGTCCAGAGCAGCCTCGAAAATGCACCCATTCTCCACATCCATTGCATCTCACCGAGACAGATCTGTGGTGGATGCGGTTTCTGCAAACACTGCAGAACCAAGGTCCGGGGTTACTTTCAATCCCGGCACGGACCAGTAGGGTTCGGAGCAGGCATTCCGGGATATAATGCCGCTCCCATGACAAAAATGACGAACACGAACATGTAATTGTTGATGTGGCAGCCTCTGGTCGGAGTCCATCTCCGAGTCAATCCGGTACAAAGAACCAGCTGCCGTGGGATTGAGATCACAGGTAGTTTTGTTTGATGATTGTCTCTCCAAATCCATTATTGTTCCTTCTGGTGTTCCCCAAGGAAGTCATTTAGGCCCACTCCTCTTTCTTCTATTTATAAATGATTTACCAAATGCTATAATCCATTCCAAGTTGCTAATGTATGCAGACGATGTCAAGTTGATTATCACACATAACTCCATAAAGCAAGCTGATTTACTACAAAATGATTCAAATAGCCTTTTTCAATGGTGCGAATTAAACTGTATGGAGCTAAACCTAAACAAATGTAAGCATATGTGTTTTTCCAGATCTTCCACTTTAACAAGGCAATACAATATTAATGGTACTGTTTTATCAACTGTAGATTAATTTGTTGATCTTGGTATTTAAAAGGATCCAAAATTAAATTTTAATAATCATGTAATTTCTATGGTAAACAAAGTCCACGGTGTCTTAGGATTTAAAAAAACGATGGGCTAAAGAATTCTCTGATCCTACATTACAAAACAACTTTTTACATCTCTTGTGCGACTTGGCTTCTTACACTAGCAGGTTTAAATTAATTCGATTGCCTACATTAAAAAGTAGACGTATTATGTTGAACACTATGATGGTAATTAAAATACTAAACGGTAATATACCCTCGGACTTCCTAATTTCATCCATTAGAATAAATGTTCCTTTTCGATTAAATAGAGATTATCAACCAATATACGTAGATTTTCATCGCACACATTATTCTATGGGAGATCCACTTAGTAAAATGTGTATTGATTTCAATTCTGTGTATTCTAACGTAGACTTTTGCATGAATATAGATCTAATAAAATCTAATATAATTATATTTTAAAATGAATAATACAACTTAATAACAAATTGGCTGTTGAAGTAGATTTCTGTAGCTGGTTTTCTATCCCTTCTCATATTCCATCATAATGCAGATTATGGTGTGTACGTGATCCCTACGAAAGGGGAGGTCGCCCCCTCGGTCGGAAGGGGTGGGAAAGTGAGGCATGGGAACGTTCGAAAAAAATGACAAAACAATTGTTCTGTTTTGTTTTGCCTTCATAGTCGATTCATTACCATTTGCATTACCAGTAACTACCGAATTGGTATAATGTGCCTAAACAAATTTTTCTATCAATTTGATGTCCCTTTTTGGGGTATAAAGTAACTAGATCACCAAGTAAATAACTATATAACCATATAATAGAAGACAATTGATATTTTTTGAACAACTGGCAATTATAACATTCGATTGAGTAAAAAAAGTTGAAGCTTTCATTATATTGAGTAAATAAATAAAATCGGAGGAAAAAATGTCGCACTGCTGACGAGGAAATTTATCACCAAACCTATATATTGATCTTGCAAATATTTACATAAAAAATACAATGGACACAAATAACATACATTTATTCAATAATCATAGTTTGAAGATATTTTTTGAATCACTTTATATCAGATAAGGTAATATTACCTCATTGATAACACGTTTATTTGTATGCCATGTTAAGTGATGTACAAATGGTTTAGCGATTATTATCAATTTTCCGTGATCTGCCAAAGTTTTCAAACCAATTTCATCCGATGTGTATATTTTTCGTTCATTGAATGGAATCACATCTAGACTCTCGTTGTAATATCCAAAATGGCTAAAAAAGAAAAATCATAAGTCAACGTCTTTTTATGTATATTATAAACCTAACCTTGATTGCCACGGTGTAATCACTCCATCGTTCGGACCTCCAACAAGAATTAATTTATCTAAGCGAGTCAAAGATTCTTTAAAATCGGTTGAATTTCCCGAAATAATTTCATTATTTATGTACGGCAGAAAAACGCTATATTTCAAATACAAATCTTGCTTTCGAGGATCATTCCAGTAGTTTCCGACAGATGTATGTTGTCCTACTTTGGAATAAAATAGTTCATATGCGGTCTTGGCAGCCAAATCCGGAAATATCAGGTGCAGAAAACTGGCTATAGATGTTAAAAAATATTTGATGTAGATCCTAAGTGTTGCTTTGACACAGTACTTACTTCCATACTGTCCTGCTTGAGGAGAAGATAAAGATATAAAAATTCGCACATTGTGTTCGGGCATTGACTGAACAGCCGCCCTTGCCAACAGTCCTCCTTGTGAATATCCTAACCGTATTAAAAATAAATAAAATTAAATTTTAAGCTTAATTTTCCATATGGAGTATCTCTCAGAAAATTTTTATATTTTTACCATATTTTCAGAGATTAGTAGATTCCTGTAGTTCGGTAACAGATCAGTTGAGTTCATGACAAGGTAACTGCAAAACCCAGCTGATTTGATTCCAATGTAATATGGGAGACTGGGGCACCATCGGCACTTTTTGTTTAGAGCTCTATATCTTAATACTTATTCAACAGATATAAAAACTTCATGGCTGATTATTGTCCTCAGATACTTAATTATAAACACTAGTACCAACAACATATAACAAATTATTATTAGTTAAACATTTTTACAGTTTTGTAAAAAAGTCAAATTTGCCGAATGCATTTGATGGGAGCACATTCGGCACCATAGTCATAGCCTGGTAATTATCACCGCTATCAGTCTGGGTGAAATTCTGGTCCTCTAAATATCCCATTTTGTTTTAATATGCGACTCAAAATTTGACTTTTAAGGCTATATTTTCTAGCGACGGACGTTGACTTCTCAAGGCCACACACACACCCTCAGAAATAGGTTTTTTCTATCACATTTTCGTCAATACAAGCACGTTTGAACTTGTTGTGTACTTTCGAACCATATTAAAGCAATGTTTTTAAAGACAAACTCAAAACCATTCTAAGAAAATTATATAGCACTATCTGTATATCGCCGAATGTGCCCCAATTTTTATAGTTATTCTCTCAATCTTCTTAAAACATTATATTTTTAATTATTTTTGTAAGAATGCACATTGTAATTTACTACTTTTTAATAATACTGCCCTAAAAATTTAAAAGTTCTATACACGAAACCCTTACGAATTAGAATGGAAATATTAGAAAAACATCTGTAAAAATGCAAAAAATCGTGTATGTTTATTAGCTAGAGATTTCAAACTTTGCCACAGTTTTTTATTTTTATATTCGATACATATGTATCGAAGCTAATGATGTACGGTAAGAGCTTCATATCGAAAACGCAAATGCCCTACTCGTGTCAACTTCTATCATAAATATTAGGTACATATTATGTTCTTCCTTATTCAATTTACTCAATCTGTCTACTGTAAAATAATTCATACAATAAATTCGGATTTCCAGCATTTTCGTATGTGTGACACATACAACTTGCAATGGTTCAAATAGAGGACAAGCGTGGAACAATGACACAGCTGTAGCTGGTTTTCTATTCTTTTCTCATATTCCATCGCCACCTTGGTCGTTCGAAGGCCGTGTACTAAATAATACCTTACATTTATAAAGAATATATTGTTGAAAGACTAGATGAAACATGTAAATAGGGTAAGTGCACTAGTTGTCGCTACTTTAAGGAATTACGTATTTAAAAATCCGAGTGATTTTTTTTGCCAATTGACGGAATGACATGTTGTAATAGTCGGCATGTCGCATTTTAATTTAACAAAAATTATATATTTGTTCGATTTTTTGTTCTTGTTTTGTACTAAATAATAGACACAGCTGGGATCCTGAAATTTGAAGTTAGGTTCATTGTTGCGGTGTAGGATTGGGTTATGCAGAAAGTTTTGTAAATTCGTACTAATGTGTACTAAGTGGTACCAAATTTGGAGTTGGATGAATCGATAGAGCTGGAATCCTGAAATTTGGAGTTATGGTCACTATTGGGGTGTATAATTGTGCTGTGTAAGAATTTTAGAAAATTTGTACTAATGTGCACTAAATTTGGTACAATTTAAATTTTGTGTGAACCAATGGAGTGGAATCCTGAAATTTGGAGTTAGTGCCACTCTTGTAGTGTAAGATTGGGATATGTAGAAAGTTTTATAAATTTGTATAAAATGGTACCAAATATGGATTTAGGTTCACTGATGGGGTGTAGGATTGGGGCATGTAGGAAATCTTAGAAATATCTAGTAATAAACACTAAATTAGGTACAATTTGAATTTAGAGTGAACCGACAGAGCTGGAATCCTGAAATTGGGTAATAAGATTTCCATTGGATTGCATGATGTCGGTAGTAATGGAAATTTCCACTTGGGGTATGTGGGAAGTTTTAGAAGTTCATACTTATGACTGTTAAAATAGGTAGTTATAGAAATTTATATTAATGTGTACTAACTGGTACATTTGGGTGGTTTAGTAAAAACGATCAGGTTTTTTTGAAATTTTCTTCCAGATATATTTTTACCCTATTTATTTACATATCCAGTTACCGGGTTATTTGACTCGGAAGTTCGGGTTATACCCGGGTCTACGGATCCGATTAATCCAAAAAAGGTTATCTAAAAAAATCTTCAATTAATCGAAATTGGTTTCGACTTCACTTCCCGTACCGCAAGAAATTACCAGATTTTACTATTTTTTCGATATCATAAAGGAAAATATGTTTTCGTAGCAAAAAATTGAGTGCAGGAACAAAGCAATTATTTTTAAATAAATATTGGTGTGTTGCCGTACAGCAAGTTACTAATTTTTACTATATTTTTCGATATAATAAAGGAAAATATCTTATCGTAGTAAAAAGTAGTAGAGTCTTGTAGTACGGAAACAGACCATATGTCTGTTCATGAACCACCAAGAATGTACAACTTTTATGATATGGAAAATATAGCAAAAATTAGTAGATTCTTGCAGTACGGGAACAGACCAATTGAATTCAGTTCATTTTATTGTAATATTAATTAATATTTTCCGTTTTAAAAGTACCCTAGTAATAAGGTCATCCAGAGAGTCCAACTAGATTTCAGATGCCTCTGAAATTAGCTGCCAAAATGCATTATTGTGAATTGACTTCCATTATGAAAACGTAAACAAAGTCCAAATTGTTAACTTATATATTTATCAAAGTTAATATGTTTTTAAACATCTACGTAATTTAATATCAATTAAAAGTGCAGGCCACGATGGGTTTCCTAGCATAATTCTAAAGTATTGTTCAGATACATTGGTTATCCCTTTGACGCTGTTGTTAAAATATTCCCTGAAATTTAGCCATTTTCTCGCCATCTGGAAGAAGTCCTATGTAATTCCTGTAACTGATGTCCCGAATTATAGATGAATTGCTAAATTAAGTGCAATTTGAAAATCGTGATCTTCGAAAAGATCACAGGTAGTTTAGTTTAATGATTGTCTCCCTAAATCCATTGATGTTCATTCGGGTGTTCCTCAAGGAAGTCAATTAGGCCCACTCCAATACAATATTTGGTCTGTTCCCTTACTGCAAGAATCTATCAGATTTTACTATTTTCTTCGATAACATAAAGTAAAATTCGTTATCGTAGTAAAAAGTAGTAGATTCTGGCAGTACGGGAACAGACCAATTAATGGCACTTTCTAAAGGTGTTCTTCGGATTTATTTCTATTCATTTTAGTCTTATTATATCTATATAAATTTATAACTGAATTTGAATTTAACGGTTTTACATTAAAATTTGTAATACCGTTTAAAATCCACTGTATAATAAAGTCCACAGTATAAATCATGGTAGATTCAAGCATCTCGATATACACAAGGCCACGTGGATTTCTCCCGATCGAACAACGAGAAATCAAATCGATCATGTTGTGATAGGCGGAAGGGAGCGAATATCGATTCGGACCATTACCTTGTGGCAGCCAAGGTACGCACCCGTCTGAATGTTGCAGCAAAAGTGCGATCTAATGTAACACGGAAATTTGACGTCGAAAAGCTGCAAACACAACAGATAGCAGAAGAATAGGAGAGGAGAAACGTATTTTCAGAAAAAAGAAGAAAGAGCAAGAAAAACATGAGCAAATCTAGATGTATAGGAGTCAGAATGAAGTCCGAAAATTCTACCAGCGGGTAAAACACCAAACCGAATGCTTTGGTGCAGGCACATCCTCCTGTACAGATAAAGAAGGAAACCTGGCGACAGATACAGACATCACGCTGAGGATCTGGAAGGAGCATTTTGAGAAACTTCTGGTATCAAATAATAGCAGTGAAGTGGATACCCCAGAACCAATAATAGATTACAGTATAGAGTGTATACCACCTAGCCAAGATAAAGTCAGAATAGCAATCAATCGGCTGAAGAATAATAAAACAGCAGGTGCCGATGGGTTACAAGCCGAACTAAGGTAAGGAGCATGCACCAGCTGATTAGTACAATTTGGCTAGAAAAATGCATGCCCATTTGATTGGAACCTCAGCATCCTATGTCCCGTGCACAAAAAAGGAGACAATACGATATGTGCCAACAATAGAGGAATAAGTCTCCTTCCCATCGCATATAAAGTGTTATCCAGCGTACTGTGTAAACGACTGAAGCAAATGGTCAATTACATTATTGTACCATACCAATGTGGCTTCAGACCTGGCAAATCCACCATTAACCAGATTTTCACTCTGCGCCAAATCCTGAAAAAACCACGAAAAACACATCGACACATTCCACCTATTCGTCGACTATAAAGCCGCATTCGACAGCCCTATCCGTTCAGAGGTGTATAAAGCCATGTCTGAAATTCTTTTCAATCCATCTCTCGAGGGGTAAACACAAATCTCCAAGCATTGATAATAAAACCCTACTCCGCAAGCCACCTTTATTTCTTTTACTTCTAAGTATCACCGACGTTCGGTGTCAGGAGCTCTTCATCATCCACTAATACAGTCCACTAGTCACTCTGACGCAGTTAAAAATTCATTCGATTGCCTATATTAAAAAGTAGTGGTATTATTTTGAACACTATCATGGTAATAAAAATATTAAACATTAATAATCAGACTTCCTGATTTCACCTATTAGAATAACTGATCCTTTTCGATCCATAGATATTGTCAAATATTATACGTAGATTTTCATCGCACAAATTATTCTATGGAAATCCATTTAGTAAAATTTTTGCATGAATGTAGAACTTATAAATAATAATAATAACATACTCTCTATTGTAGTAGATTCTGAAGTTGGCTTTCTATTCCCTTCTCATATTTCATCATGATGCGGATTATGGTGTGTACGCGATCCCTACGAAAGGGAGGTCGCCCCCCTCGGTCGGCAGATGAGTAGATTGAATACCGGAGGACATTTAATCAAGAACATTCTCGAATTTTATGGGTACCAAATTTTATTTTTAAAAACATAATTTGTCATATTCATATTGACCCGAGTATTTTTTCATTTCTTCTCCCCTTTATATTTTTATACTCAATGCGTATTTGGGTAACATTCATTGAAATACATGTATTTAACTTTTGAAGTGAATAAAATCGTACGAATACGCTTGTATTTAGGTACGACCCTAAGTTTTTTATTTTTTGTTTGTTAAACTCAAGGTGTATTTAATAAGTATATGCATCAGATACAACAACCAACATTTTACGTTTCCACGACAGAGGGGTCTACGATCCGAAACGACCCGAGTCTTACTCGGCCAACGTCTGTCAACTCAGCCCATTTTGTAAAAGCAATAGGGCTGCTACAACAACAACCAACATTTTACGAAAACAACATTGTTGTTATATACATTAAATTGTCATGCTGACAAATAGGTGTTGACATAAATAGATAAAAACAATTATATATTTCTTCAGGTCCAAGGTCTATATAATAGGTCATCCAGTAAAAAAAATGTATTTAGCCAGGCGTTTGTAGAAAACTAATGGACAAATTCTAATACAAGCTATGTAACATAATTTCCTTGATTTTGAGGGAAGCAGGGGATTTATGGGTAAAATTTTACACGGGGTACGTAACAATATCTTTTTGGGATTGAATCGATCATAAGAACACACATATACATATGTATAATTGCAATCTGGAACCCAAGTTGTACTTGGGGCAAATATGTGGATCAAATCAGCGGCCGGATTTAAAACTAATTTAAGCTCACGTTTCCTTGTCATCACTTGGGGCATTAAGAAATATTCCGTCCCTATAAATGAATTATTATTGCACTTTCATTAATAAAAATTAATAACCGAAGACAAAAGACAATGGGTTTGTCCGATAACTTACTGAGAAAAAATACTCAGTAACTTCTGTTGAGAGAGTTTGTTATCTCATTTGAAAATATTGAAAAAAATTATCGAACAACATCCAGTAAGAAATCAAATGAATGTATCACAATTTGAAGTTGTCAGGAAATCGGATACAAAATAACAAATTTTAATAAATTAATTTTATGTATTTCCTGCTATTATATATTGCGTATTGCTTTATATCGCCATAAAAATTAAACTATTCAGATTTTTGCATTGATTGAAAAAAAAAAAATAATATATATTTGACAACAAAACATAAACAAGAAAATTCTTACTCAGTAAATTTTACCAGTAAGAATTTTTCAATACTCAGTACTCAACTGCCAAAAATGTTCTCTCAACTTACTTTAATTTACAGAACTTTTAAGTTCTCAAATGACAACAAAACATAAACAAGAAAATTCTTACTCAGTAAATTTTACCAGTAAGAATTTTTCAATACTCAGTACTCAACTGCCAAAAATGTTCTCTCAACTTACTTTAATTTACAGAACTTTTAAGTTCTCAAATTGGTACAAATTCTTACAAATTATTGGGCTGTCAAAGAAACCTAACATTTTAAATCGAAATGAAACGTTGACAAATATTTTTGACAATTTGCTTCACAAACAAAGATAATTGTTTAAAACCATATGATTGTTACTTACACCTTATTAAATACACCTTGGTTAAGCTTAGTTAATCATATATTTGAAATACATATTAGGGTCGTACCTAAATTCATGCGTATGCGTACGATTTTATTCACCTCAAAAGTTAAATACATGTATTTCAATGAATGTTACCCAAATACGCATTGCGTATACAAATATTAAGTTGAAAATTTTCAACATTGACAATGTGTATTTTGGAATTTTTTGTTTTTTGAAAAGAGAATTTCAGTCATTGAAAAATTTGTTTTTCTACACATGTAAACATTTTTTGATCATTAAAAAAAATATTGCCACCCATTTTCGCCGTTTTCAATGGCCAGATGCAAATAAATCCCTTGCGTATTTGGGTAATACGGACGTCTAACAAACCTATAAAGGTGAGAAGGTGAGTATTTTTGTACGGAGCGCAATAAATTGGGTACGACCCTTAGGTAAATCCGATAACGTATGAAAAATTACTTCGCTACATATGTTGAGAGTTTGTTCTTTCATATGAAAATATTGAAAAAAGTAATCGAATGACATCCAGTAAAATCTAGTAAGAATCTTTTGGTCTGTTCCCGTACTGCAAGAATCTACTACTTTTTACTCCGATAACACTTTTTTCCTTTATGATATCAAAAAAAATAGTAAAATCGAATAGATTCTTGCAGTACGGGAACAGACCATTCATGTTTCACAATTTACAGTTGTTAAGAAATCGGATACAAAATAACAATTTTTAATAAAGAATTTTATATATTTCATGCTGTTATACATTAAATATTGCTTATTATCACCAAAAAATTTATGGATAATAAATTAAAATTTGTACCGAGTAGGAATTTTTCAATACTCAGTACACAACTGCCAAAATTTATGTCACCCTTACTCCCATTTACTAAACTTTTAAGTTATCAAACAACATACACTAACAACTGATCGTATCCGAAATGAATATGAAAAAAAAAACATATTTTTTAAAGAAAGCTCTTATTCTAAATGTTGAGCTGCTTGGACGGATCTCGGCGACAACTTCAGGCACCGACAGATTCCAATACAGGATACGCAACAGAATCAAAATTGAAAAAATTGAAATTCCCTTCTAAATGTAAAGAAATTGAGGTGGATGGCAAACATGCTCCGGAAATTTATAATTTTCGAAATGAAAACTTCATAATTCTTTTAAGATTGCAACTCTCATCTCTTATTGCTCTAGGAAACTGCGGGTCAGAGATGATTTCAAAACTGAGTATCCCATATTTTCCGGCACCAGCATCAAAAAGCTACATATGGTAAAAAAATAACATTTTCTGAGAGGTGCCCCTTAAGCACATTTAGAAACAAGTTTAGGCTTAGGATTATATCGATATTCTATCTTTCTTGCCGAAGTCTATACTTCCAGGTATATAGGATTGCAAAGTTCCTTTACGAATTTGTATTTTCACATTAGTTGTAAAAACGATCTCGTGGGTGTTTGTCCGGGTATTAAAGACTTTATCCTATGGACACGCCAATACGGGCTACGCAACAAAATGTACCGAATTGTTTTTACGAACTTCCACGGGCAAAATATACTTTGTCCCACTCAGGACATCAACCGCTTCAAAAATATACCCATATTATCATAGTTAATTTTAAAACGAATGGTAATGATCCATACCTATGATTTTTTTGACTTCCGCTAGCAATATCGTTGTAATCGGTTTCTCTATTGCGGCATAATAGTAAAACATTTCATACGTTTGTTTCCATCATAATGTTTAAGGTCAACTATTGACAAATAATAAATACCTATTACTATTATTCCTTCCGGATGTCTGCCACCAATATCATAAAGATAATCACGATATCCTGCAACTTGCCTCCAAGCGGCTTCAAGACTGTTCCAATTGCTATACAGTTCGCAGTTGTAAACTTTAGTTCCAGGATGTTGCTAGATGAATTTCGCACAGGAAGCATTGAGTAATCATATTGATAAAATTAAATTTGTCATCTTACGACTTCTATATAGAACTTTAGAGATGCCATCGATTCCGATCCCGATAATATTCCATGAAATAAAACAACAGGCATATATGCTTTAACTTGAATAGCACAAATCAATATAAAATTGCATACACAACTTATATATGGAAATGACTTCATTCTAAAATGTGTAAAACTTGTTACTTTCTGAATTGAGAAAATGCTTATTTGTTCTTTCTGCTTTATTTTTTGTGTTAGGCAAACACCTCTCTCTCTCTCTTTCTCATAAACTTAAATGCTGTTTCATGCAGCAACAATTATCAGAGGATAGACATTAAACCAAAACAAAAACACACGCAACATGACCGCTGGAAAATTACAAAACGTAGCCACTTTGAAAAAGTGGCAAATAAATTTTGAAAAAGTCACTCATTTTTTTTGGTACCAATATTTATTAATAAGGTTACTCGGTTAGCGAAAGTCGTTTTCATAATGGAAATCAATTCACAAGAATGGATTTTGACAGCTGACTGATGACCTTATTAATAGACCTTATATATTCAGTAACAGCCTTACCTAAACGTTCGACGTTTTTCACCACAAAAGTAGAACACATGTATTTATATGAATGTTACCGAAATACGTCGACGTACGAATTTTCAAAGTTGAAAAAATTCAACTATGACAGAACGTAGTTTTTTTTTTTTTTTTTGTTGAAAAAAGAAACAAAACATAAAGAAATATAATTTTTTTCAATAAGAATATGAACTATTTGAACACATTTTATAATTTCTTAATTTTATTTCGCGATTTGGTTTAGTTCGCTAAGAGAAATGGATTCGACGTATTTGGGTAATACGGCCGTACAAAACGTTTTGTCATAGTGGGAAAGTTGAATATTTTTGTACGCCCCGTCAAATTTTAGGTAACGTTGTAAGGTACAATAAATAGCACAGTACAATAAAAAGCATGGTACAATTACAAAAGGTAAAACGGCATTTACATTAGAACTTTTTACCGGGTTAACCTACTTTATGAGGATTTATTTGGCATGTATACAATGGAATTGATAATTGAAACCGACTGGGTTAACGAAATCCGGTATAATGTAAACGTACTATAACAGCAAATCCCAGCTGATTTGATTCCAACGTAATACTGAACTTGACAAATTATGTTTTTAAAAATCACCCAACAGGAAAATTGGAAACGCATACAATTTGAAATTGTTCTTTATTAAATGTGCTCCCGTATTCAGTTTACTCAACCTGCCTGCTGGGAAAGTTTGAGGAAGCAAATCTTTCTTCATGGAATAACTCTCAATTCCCTGCATTTTCATATGTGTTACACATATAAGTGGCAATGGCTCAATTATAGGAAAGATGTGGAAGCGATAGAAATATAAAATTGATAGATTTTCATTCATGGTTTTCAAACTTTATTTTGAGGATTCGAAAATATTTCATTTTTAAAATTATTATAATTTGTTGATAATTTCATTGTTTGTTTACATTTTTCTGTCAAATGACATCGACTTACAACAACAAATTTCCATGTGGTTGTTGTATCGTTTGTTGTACAACAACACTTGCTGTTACCTTCTATTATTATACCATGAATAAATAGATAGTCCATTTAGAGCAGCTGATGTCTCGATTAACTGTCAAAATCCGTAATTTTTACTTGAATTCGATGTGTAATGTTGCCAACCATGTGAAATATTATAAGGAAAAAATGTTGACAGCTAGTCGAGACAAAAACAAAGGTTTTTGTTGTGATCCATCACCTTATTATTGCATCTTGGTAGCGGCCATGATGTAATAATAAGGTGATGTATCAAAACAAAAACCTTTGTTTTTGTCTCGATTATCTGTCAAATTTTTCCATATAATATTTCAAATGGTTGGCAACACTACACATCGAATTCAAGTAGAAATTACCCACTTTGACAGTTAATCAAGACATCAGTCGCTTCTCAACCTTTGTTGATGTTAGACTAAATACGCGCGGGTCGCTTTTTTATGTTTTTAATTTCTCTCTGCATATTACGCATAAACAATACACACACATTAACACATAACCAATTTCGCTTTTTTCTCTGATTTTTGGTTTTTTTAAAATAAAATTTGGTATTCCAATAACAACAATATCTGGTGATCATGGGGGACGAGGAGCCGCCTCCTCGGCTGGACCCGAGGAGAAGATCTGAAACCTCAAACAACCAGGAATCAAAAAAATTCAAAAATTTTAAACTTTCGCCGTCAATACAAAAATCACAAATATCTCCAACAACACTATCAGTTGCATCAAACTCACCACATACACAATATCAAATACAGCCTCATCAAGCTTTAAGTGAAAACAATAAACAAAATAATGAACTAACAAACACTAACAACACAAATTTCACAAATATAACCAACAATAGCAAAAACTCTAATAATGCAAATGCCTCAATTTTTCCCAATAAAACCGATATATACAGCTACGATATTAATGAAAACAATACTATTCTATATAATCAAGCACATCCTGGCCCTTACTATGTCATGCTAACTTCTGATGAACCAATATCTTCCAGAAGGAAAAACTCAGAACTACATCTATATGCAAAACTAGCCAATGCCAACATTAACGCCCATTTTGTGTCCAACAATGTAGGGTACAAGACCTTCCGTTTGAGTTTTAACAACGCTAATTCCGCAAATAATTTTATATTAAATCCCGATGTCAAACGCATTGGTCTGACGGCGTTTATACCGGACAGATTTGTGCAGAAATTTTATATTATAAAATCTGTGCCAATTGAGTTCACAGGGAAGATGATTTTTGATCAAATCAATAACAGTGACAACGATTTTAAATGTTTCAAATACAGAAATGAAAATGGTCAGTATGTTCCTTCACAGACAATCAAAGTCGGTATTGCAGCAGATTTTATAATAAAAGAACTCAAAATGTTTAATTCGTTGGTTGAAACTGAATTCTATATTCCACAAGTTCGTCTTTGCAAGAATTGTGGCCGTTTAGGTCACATTGCAACAAGATGCAGGTCAAAAAAAAGGTGTATCCTATGCAGTGTTCGCAAAAAAACGGTACACTATCGTAGTGTACCGTACCAGGAACACAAACACTAAAAAATTTTTAGCGTTAGTGTTCCGGTACACAAACATTAAAAAAATATTTTAGTGTTACTGTTCCGGAGCACAACGAAATTCGTAGTGTACCGCGGTCGGAGCACTAAAAATCGTAGTGTACCGCTGTCGGAACACTAAAAAACCGTAGCGTACCGCCGTTGCCGGAACACTAAAAATCGTAGTGTTCCACTGGCCGGAACACTAAAAATCGTAGTGTTCCATTTGGCGGAACTCTAAAAATCGTAGTGTTCCACTTGGCGGAACACTTAAAATCGTAGAGTTCCATTTGTCGGAACACAAAAAGATGTATTAATTATATTTTATTTTTTGTATGAATAAAATTTATATATTTTTGTCAATAGATTTAATAAATAGAAAACTTGTTAAATTTGTTTATATTTTATTAAAAATTAGTAATATTTTATTAGCATCTACAGTTTTAAATAATAAATATTTTATAACTAAAAAAGGTCGTCGAGTGAAAATTCAATCTGATACCAACTCGCAACTGAAAATTCCATTGGATTACATTTTCGCTGATAATCGATTGCGCTGATCGGAAAAATGTATTGCATAAGACTACCTGTGCAAAAATCATAAAGAATATGTGGTTTTGTAACATTTATCCCAAAATCATAAAAATATTTTTTTCATACCCGCGTAATTTGTACACTTCTTTTAATGAATAAGCAGGTAATAATTATGTTGATTGTGTGACAATCACCAAATTTTGTATATTTTTGCTAAAATTTCCTAAAAGTATGAATCATAGATGGATGCAGGTATAATTGTTTTAAGAAAAAAATTTTCGTACTAGAATTTTACAAGGAGATCTCCCAATATTATGGAAAATATGTTCGTTGTGTAAATTAATGAAAATTTTATCCTAAGCTGTATAATTTTGTCACAAAAACAGGCCAAAATACCTATTTCAAATGGACATTTTCACTTTTTTAATTGCAAGTAAACTTACGATTTGTATTGTTACGCTACGATTTGTATTGTTCCGACCAGTGGAACACTACGATTTTTGGTGTACCACTAAAAATCGTAGTGTTCCGGCAAGTGGAACACTAAGATTTTTAGTGTTCCGATAAGCGGAACACTAACATTTTTAGTGTTCCGTCCAGAGGAACACAACGATTTTTAATGTACCGCAGTCGGTACACTACGATTTTTAGTGTACCGCTGTCGGTACACTACGATTTTTTAGTGTACCGCAGCAGGTACGCTAAGATTTTCGTTGTGCTCCGGAACAGTAACGCTAAAAATATTTTTAGTGTTTGTGTACCGGTACAGTACGCTATTTTAGTGTACCTATCCACCTTGGTACGGTACAGAACACTATGGAACGGTACCATAATGATTATTTTCGAACGCTGATCCTATGCGGTCAAAACATTGATTGTCCTAACAATTGCACCGATCAAAAATGTGACACATGCCTCTCCACAATTAAGTGTACCACCTTTTGTACTTTTCCCAGATGCATTTTATGCAATAAATATAATCATAATGCCATGGATGTAAAAAAATGTGAGAAGTACGCTTATGAAAAAAATATCCTTGAAGCAATGGCAATTTCAAACCTATCTAGGAAGGAATGTACCCGTAAAGCGTCAGCCAATTATTATGCAATTCTAGATGAACCCCAATATGAAAATGAATTTCCTTCACTGACCAACAAAACTAAGCCTCCAGTTCAAACTTTTAATGACGAATTCAATCGCAGACTCACAAGAGTGAGCTATAATAAAGTAGCAGCAAAAATACCCAAAAGATCGCTGATCACTGCAGATTCTGAATCTCTTACGCCTACTAAACCGTCCTT